TCTCCTGAGCAGTCTTAAGCATATTTTATATATTATATAATGAGTGAGCAAGTTGAGCAAATTACAAAAGAACCAGAAGTTATTAAGAAGATAAAAGATCCGAAGAAGGTAGCTGCTGGTAAGAGATTAGCTGAGTATCATAAGAAGGCAAAGAATGCATTGCAGAAGGAAACAACACAAAAGTCTTGGATACCTGAAATATCTCTCACAACGGCTATATCTATTGTAGGCACCACAATAGCGGCTGTTGATTTATACTATCGGTGGAAATCATCTAAAAGCGGCCCGAGCACTTCTATATCGAATTTATGGAAATCTAAGCCAGAAGAAAAGCCTGAGGAAATAGAGGAAATAGAGGTAGAAGAGCCTAAAAAGAAACCTAAAAGAAAAATCGGTATGGAATAAGATGATAATATATATTGAAGAAACTAAGCCGGAATTTACAATATATTTAGATCCGCCTGCGCATAATCCGGAAACTATTTCTTTGAATAGCGCCCGCATTGGAATTCCAGGCGAGACATATCCTCCAGAAGCAATTTACATCTATTGCGATTTAATAGCTAGTGAAGATGTTCGTTTAAATTCAAAAAGAACGCAGCTTTTGGGAATAATTCATARGAAGAAAGTTAATGAAATGAGCATAGCAGGCAGCCGGGCTAAAATTAGAACCAACGGAACTAATCGTGTTTATTCTATATTCTTTTGCGTCACAGACGGCACAAAGTTATTACAGGTGGCTCCTGAGAAAATTCGTTTGGAAATAGATATTTCTTAGATATAATGAGTGAAAACAAGCTAGTGAAAACAATAACAGGTGCGGCGGTGGTAGTAGGAATTGCGAGCGGGATTGGTTGGTTGGGTAAAAAGATGTTAAAAGAAAATTTCATAAGCGACCCGAGCACTTCTATAGCGAATTATGGTAAATGGGTTCTAGTGCTTTCAGGAAGTCTATACGCGAACGAATATTTAGCTGATCATATTGCTCTACCCAAGTAAGTAATTTTTGATTCTCAAAAATTATATATATATATATGGCATCGATAGCGATAATGATAGGCGGCGCGATTTTGAATGCAACAGCATTTACAGGTTCAATGTACATAGCCAAATACTTCGACAAGCAGCATGCTGATCAAGAAAGAATTCGTCATGATAAGGCTATGGAAGAATACGAAAAAGAAATGGGTCAATGGAGAAAAAGACGACAGGAATACCAAGATTGGYTAGAATCAGAGTATTTGAATAAGAAACAGGCTGATGAGAATTTGAATTCAACAGATCAAGCTCTTTCTCTCTATAAGAGAGCGCATCCGGATTTTGATTAAAAAAAACCCGGAATTTCATTATACGCCGTCGGCCAGTCAGAAGAGATATGAAATTGCTTATGTAGCGGGGGGAATGGGTCTAGTTGCTTATGGAGCTAGTAAATTTTTATAAATTTTTGATAAAAAAACAAGCGGGGTTTAATAACCCCAAATTTTTTCGTATTGTGATACGTCTATTCTTCTAAATATTTAAGAGCTTCTTCTGCAACCAAAGCAGCAGCTATCCACATTAAGACCTTACCACTTGGGAGCCGCTTATTTACAACCGCTTTTGCAGCTGCTCGGGCACACTCTATCTCTTCTTCATCACGCCTTTTCAACGCTTCTTCAAGCCTTATTCTATGTTTTTTAACAGCTTCAGCCCACAACTCTTGGTAGAATTCTCTTTCTCTCTCTAAATCGCGCTCTTGGTAAAATTCTCTTTCTCTCTCTAAATCGCTGTTCATTTCTTTTATATATAGGAAATATTAAATACATAAAAAAGATCTCTATAAACGAGCGCATCCGGAATTTCATTATACACCGTCGGCCAGTCAGAAGAGATATGAGCTGGCGGGATGGAGCTAGCAAATTGTTGTAAATTTTTGATAAAAAACAAGCGGGGTTTAAATAACCCCTATTTTTTACGTCTATATTGTGTGTTTGATTAGTGTAGGTATAATGAGTAACAGAGATAAACGATGTCTTAGATGTAGGTGTTATAAATATCCTGAAGATTTCATTAAGGATGGAAGAATTTTGAAAACATGTTCTACTTGCCGGGCTGGTGTTGCTAGATACAGAAATAAGAATAAATGCCCTCACGGAATTCAAAGATGCTTCTGTAGAGCTTGTATTGGCAGCCAGATTTGCGGACATAATAAACAGAAATGTTTATGTAAGAAATGCACAGATCCTATTAAGATTACAATTGCTAGATGGTTGGGTAATTCTAAAGAATCGGATAGGAAATCTAATCGTTATGACGCTGATAGGTTTATAGATAAATGCTTTCTTAAAGGTTTAATAGAAGATAGTGA